TTTGATACATATTTGACCCTTGCAATCTTAATATAAGTCACCCAGTAATAAATCTACATGCGAGTCCTGGGTCCTGTACCCATAGGATTTCTATTTGACCAAAACAATTTCTGAAAATACTGAAATGTAACATGGTGGGACCCATATCTTTTAACCATACAGTGGGAAAAGACCCATACAAACTAATTGTAGATTGATCACTGATCACTGATATCACTTTTTTTGATTTTATTTTTTTATATATGTAGCATGATAGATATTTATCAAAAAAATATACTGGCCAAGTATCATCACCCAAGGACAAAATATTACCGGGGTAAACTTTATTCATTTTTACAACAATTATGGCACAAGTTATTCAACTTGTATTCACCACTCTTGTTGGCTCGAGTGTTTCTAATTTTAGCAGGTTGTGGCGTTTACTTTAAACAACATCCACCCAGAAACAAATACGCCTAGGATAAGGATATTTGGCCAGCTACATGCTAGGATGAAGGACTATCAAGTTTATGTAAATGATTGATCTTTATCCATTTCAAGGTCACATGGGTCAAATATGTTTAAATATTTTGACAACTTCTTCTGAATAACCAAAAGGCCTTGGGTGGTGATATTTGGCCAGTAACATGGTGGGAAAAAGGGCTATCAACTTTGTTCAAATTAATGACCTTCGTCCATTTTCAAGCTCACAGGGGTCAAATATGTTAAAAACCTTTAAACAACTTCTTCTAACAGAGGCCTAGGGTGATAATATTTGGCCAGTAAAATGCTCAGAAGAAAGGGTACCAATTTTGTTCAAATAAATGACCTTGGTGTATATTCAACGTCACAGGAGTCAAATATGTTAAAACCTTTAAACAACTTTCTCTGAATAACCAAGAGGCCTAGGGTGATGATATTTGGCCAAATGAATGACACTGACTTATATTCACGGGCACATGGGTCAAATATGTTTAAAACCTTTAAACAACTTCTTCTGGATAACCTAGGGTGATGCTATTTGGCCAGTAACATGCTTGGATGATGGACTACAAAGCTTTTTCATTTGAATGGCCTTGACCAACTTTCAAGGTCACATTTGGTTAAATATGTATAAGAATGTATATGACCTAATCTCAATAAACAAAAGTTCTAAGGTGGTGATATTTTGCAAGTTGCATGCTGAGATGAAGGGCTATATAATTTGTTCAATTAACGACCTTTGTTGACTTTCAAGGTCACATAGGTCAAATGTTTTAAAATCTTTTAACAGGTTCTTTTGAATGAGTCATAGTCAGAAATACTAATACTTTGCCTATAGCTTTATTTTAGATTACTTTTACGGTTACAAGTATGAGATTAATACTAGGTGAGCGATGCAGGCCCATTGGGCCTATTGTTTAATGTGGAAGTAAACTAGAGAATTTCGGAGAAAACCCAGGTATCGTGGGATCAAATCCCAGCCGCCTTGGTGAAAGGCGATTGTGTTATCTACTGCGCCACTTGTCCACCCAATGACTATTGGTTATTCAAAAGTTAAAACATGTTGCATCCCAAAAAGGTTACACGCCCCTACAAATATCCGTCTCCTGACCTAATACTTGAGGCAATTATAAATCAATATCCATTATTGCAATACAGTCGTAATGGTTATAGTGTAAATATAACCACGAGTTTAGGGTCTCTCTCCAAATGATGAATATCCATTATTGCAATATAGTCGTTATACTTATAGTGTAAATATAAGCGCGAGTTCGGGGTCTCTGTACACAGGGGCTCGTAGGCTTAGCCTTCGTTTTGCCACAGGTGTGTGTTGTGACCCATGTCAGTATAGCATATGTTTATTTCATTTGTAACGAACCCCTGTGGTTTTACTGTGGCCAATATCATTATAGTCAATTTATGTGTATTTTAGACATTTTAAACAAATCATTGTGGTCAGTCAAACAACTATAGTTGTCCATCCACAGGTATCTGCCTCTCGAATTATAGAAAGGAGGCGTCTACTATTCTCTCTGTTTAATTCAAGAGACAGATACCATTACTAGATAGTGCTGTTGCTGTAAGCACAGGTACTAGCCTCGTCTGTCAAGACAGCTATACTATAATTATATTATAGGTGTATTGACAGACGAGGCTAGTATCTGGTAACTGTGCTGTAAGTAAATAATTATCGATTTACTTCCTAAGCATATGAGCGACAATTTATCAGTCGTTATTGATAGTTAAGGCATACATACCTGGCTTAAAGAGATACATGAAGGTCATAGATGTATAGTGAATATACTGTTGTAGACCTAACGAATATCACTCCGTTTGTCTACTGCTGCACAAATTGGTAAACTGGTAAAATACTAGATTGGATAAGAGAATACCTGTCAAACTTGACCCAGATGGCCGAGAAGTTCCGAGTGTGAACTGGGGGGAGGGGGGAGGGGGACGTCCCTTCTACAACTCATTTACGTCAATTTACGTCAAACAAAACATTGATGTAACGTCAACAGTTTAGATATGACAAGACCAAAGTGGTCGGAGAAATAGAATCAATGCCTATTTGAAGGTGAGCAGGGGGAGCTCAAACATCGAAAGAGGATTCTTAATAAGTTTCAAAACAATTGCGGTAAGACGTGTATTTCGAAATTGAAGAATTCCTCTGTCACAATACAAATAGGTAAAAAAATCTATTAAACATGTATTGAAATCATAACGATGACAGCACACGACTTGGTTGGACCTGTATGTTTGGTTATATTGAGTAACATATACCCAATTGATGATTCACTCTTAAATTCTGTATGGATTTAATTTATCTATGAGGTATGGGTTTTTAAATAAATAGTCTTACTATGTATAAACACATAAATTGAAAATAAAAAATGAGATGGACGGCTCCATTCGGAATTATCAAAACTGTTACCGCTTCAAATAGTTTCCATGCGCAATTTCGTAGATCATGCCAAAAAAAAGTAAGATTACATAGCTAATAACTTATGATAAATGTTCAGGTACTTTAGCCACATGTAATCTTGATAAACATATCGATCATCGATCGATGGATTCTGCAAAATGATATGATTGCTTCATTAAAGTTGCTTTACTATTTGTTCAGCCAGTTTTATTTCTTTCAGTTCAGTTGCTAAGTTTTATCACTCAGTGATGTTTTTAATAACCGGCTATATATGCCTGTCAAAAATGTATATTACTAACCTAATACAAACTCAAAGGAACTGTATGACAGACAGGAATTGATTGACTGAGTATTCCAGTTATCTCTCTTTATTCCTACAACGACCATTCCAATCATTGATTTAACGAATTTGTATTTATGCCCCACCCCACCCCCACTCCACCCACCCACACACACACGCCACCCCCACCCCACTTAAGTGTAGTCTACAAGCTATGTAAACAAAAATGAGCACCAAATAATGGCCTATTCCAGATCAAAAAATGCATTTAAATATTTCATATGATGCAACGCAACGCAAGCAATAGCAAAATATACGAGGGTTTGGCCGGGATCGACGGTATTTCAAAAACAAAAAATTGCCTAGGTCTGTTTTTAGAGAGGCCAGTGGCGTGTCCACTACGATAGTTTTTCTGTTGTAAAAACCTTCGTCAATGAAGCGTGGTTATTACGGTCATCATGGTGAGGTTTGATCGCATAAGCGGAAAACGTTACAATTTGTCGATGAAATTACACAGATGTTTGCAAATGTAGTCAGGGGAGGTAACTCGTGAAGACTTACCTTTTCAAATGCCTCTGGCTCTTTGACGAAAACTCACAGCCCAATTCATGATGAAATAAAAAAAATCATTTAATATTAATTAATGCCATAAAGTATCATTAACGCTATTATCACTTGTTTGCAATAATAATTTTATCTTGTTTTTGTTATTCATAAAAAAAAAACATTTTTATCTTAATGATTTTAATATTAGTTCTATTTATTTGTTATATTTTTTTTTGAATTTAGCAAACTTTTATTTTTGTTAAATTAGACCATAAGAAAAACCAATATTGCCCGTTGTGTATTTTTTTGAGTAAATATTATTTTTTCTAAATACAATGTAAAAAATACTTGTACCAATCTCGTCTTGCGGCCGAAATTCTATATAAGATTTATTTTTTATTTTCTATCATTATTAAATATTATTAGCTTCATTATGAATATAAAGATGTCGTTACTTTAAATCGAAGTTATTAAATATGTTTAGAAGTCTAGAGGGGAAAAGAGATAAAGAAATGTGCTTTGAACCCTGTAGCTGCATTTATGTTTTGTCCAGTACTAACATGCCGGAAAACGTTAAAAGGGACACAATGCGTAATAATGAGTTTACACATCATTTGTAAGAAAAGAAAAAAAAATCATCACTGACACTTCGCAAACATTCAGACTGTTAACAATCACCTGTATGTAGGGAGGCTTTGTACTGTGTTGTCTACTGTTGTCTTAGTCTCCATCCAACCCCTTACACTGACTAAATATGTGTATGCAACACTTACATATTTACATTTTACAAGTATTCCTAGTTTTTTTGGCTATTTTGATTTTTCGAATCACCAATTACAATTGTCCCGATTATGAACTACAATTCAACCGGAAGCATTTAAAAGGTCGATGGAGCGGCCTTGCACATGAGTCGCTGGAATTCCAATGACATCGTTTCCTAGCATATTGATCTATCGGACTTTCTGGTGAGTTTATGACATGCAACATGTAGCTAAAATACTTGTTATATGTATTTAACCATGACAAGTACTTTGTATGTGTACAGTATATGTCTCATAAGTAAGAACGACAGTTTTAACCAATATGGACACTTGATCCAAACAAGCAAACGTGTGTTGCAATTGGATACGTATCAATACGGAGCTGCTTGTGTAAACACGTCGCAAAAAAGCCGGCTTTAGGTTGAAGAATTTCTCACTACCATTATTCACAATTTTCTATTAATTCACCTGATCTCAGGTCTTCAAAGTATTTTGATTTTACAATTGATAGTCATTGGTTTGTTACAATGCAACCGAGGGGGTGTGCGATAAAATCGGCGCATATTTTGTAAGTACTAACAGGTGTATTGTTTACATATATTTTATGCTGTAGTGTTTTTCATGCTAACGTTTTATCTTTGTTATATGTTGTAAGTGTTAATGTTGGGCTGGTTGCCACAAACATTGGATACATTCCTTGGTCTGCACTGTCATTATTACTTCTATTCATATATATAACTTAGACTTCTAGATATAGTTTATTTTCAGTGAATTGAAAGCTCAGAATAAGTTTATTTACGTAGACAGATTTATTTTACAACAGACATGACAACTACAACTCTCAGCACATGACTAACAACAACAGAGGACAGGTGACGCTATTGTACTACAGACTATTTACTGCCGCATAAACTTTTCAGTGCCAGACCCGTACCCGTAAACAAAACACAAACACTACAGAAACAATCCCCATCGTTACATTACAAAATTACAACGGAGGTATCTATGTAAATAAATGAATTAACAACCGTATACATGTACAACGGGTGTATCCATGTAAATAAATAAATTAAACGTATACATGTACAACGGAGGTATCCATGTAAATAAATAAATTAACAACCGCATACATGTACAACAGAGGTATCCATGAAAATAAATAAATTAACCGCATACATGTACCACAGAGGTATCCATGTAAATAAATAAATTCACCGCATACATGTACAACGGAGGTATCCATGTACATAAATAAATTAACCGTATACATGTACAACGGCGGTATCCATGTAAATAAATAAATTAACCGTATCCATGTACAAGGGAGGTATCCATGTAAATAAATAAATTAACTGCATACATGTACAACAGAGGTATCGATGTAAATAAATAAATTAACCGCATACATGTACAACGGATGTATCCATGTAAATAAATAGATTAACAGTATACATGTACAACGGAGGTATCAATGTAAATAAATAAATTAACCGCATACATGTTCAACGGAGGTATCCATGTAAATAAATAAAGTAACCGCATACATGTACAACAGTGATATCCATGTAAATAAATAAATTAACCGTATACATGTACAACGGCGGTATCCATGTAAATAAATAAATTAACCGTATCCATGTACAAGGGAGGTATCCATGTAAATAAATAAATTAACTGCATACATGTACAACAGAGGTATCAATGTAAATAAATAAATTAACAGTATATATGTACAACGGAGGTATCTATGTATATAAATAAATTAACCGCATACATGTACAACGTAGATATCCATGTAAATAAATAAATTAAACGTATACATGTACAACGGAGATATCCATGTAAAGAAATAAATTAAACGTATACATGTACAACGGGGATATCCATGTAAATAAATAAATTAACCGTATATATGTACAACGGAGGTATCTATGTATATAAATAAATTAACCGCATACATGTACAACAGAGGTATCCATATAAATAAATAAATTAACCGCATACATGTACCACAGAGGTATCCATGTAAATAAATAAATTAACTGCATACATGTACAACAGAGGTATCCATGTAAATAAATAAATTAACAACCGCATACATGTACAACAGAGGTATCCATGAAAATAAATAAATTAACCGCATACATGTACCACAGAGGTATCCATGTAAATAAATAAATTAACTGCATACATGTACAACAGAGGTATCGATGTAAATAAATAAATTAACCGCATACATGTTCAACGGAGGTATCCATGTAAATAAATAAATTAACCGTATCCATGTACAAGGGAGGTATCAATGTAAATAAATAAATTAACAGTATATATGTACAACGGAGGTATCTATGTATATAAATAAATTAACCGCATACATGTACCACAGAGGTATCCATGTAAATAAATAAATTCACCGCATACATGTACAACGGAGGTATCCATGTATATAAATAAATTAACCGCATACATGTACAACAGAGGTATACATGTAAATAAATAAATTAACCGCATACATGTACAACGGATGTATCCATGTAAATAAATAGATTAACAGTATACATGTACAACGGAGGTATCAATGTAAATAAATAAATTAACAGTATATATGTACAACGGAGGTATCTATGTATATAAATAAATTAACCGCATACATGTACAACAGAGGTATCCATGAAAATAAATAAATTAACCGCATACATGTACAACAGAGGTATCCATGAAAATAAATAAATTAACCGCATACATGTACCACAGAGGTATCCATGTAAATAAATAAATTAACTGCATACATGTACAACAGAGGTATCCATGTAAATAAATAAGATAACCGCATACATGTACAACGGAGATATCCATGTAAATAAATAAATTAAACGTATACATGTACAACGGAGATATCCATGTAAATAAATAAATTAACCGTATACATGAACAACGGAGGTATCCATGTATATAAATAATGTAATAGCCGCATACATACATTTTATTCTAATAAAGTATCTATGAAAATAAATAAAATATTAACCGCCTATTTTAAAAAAAAAAAGTTCTCCTGAAGTAATTAAGTTAATAAATGAAATGATAACCGCATATATATAAATTATACTTCTGAAGTATATATGTAAATAGATAGAATATTAAACGCATAATGAAAAACAAACATACTACTTAAGTGACTATGTAAAGACATGAAATAATTAGCGCATATATCAATATTTATTGTCTAATAAGTGTCTATGTAAGTAAATATAATTATTACGGCATACATAATAAATATACTACTGAAGTACCTATGTTAAAAAGAAAAATCTTACGGCATGCATACTAATCATACTACACTTAAGAAAGCATCTAAACAAAGAAAATAATGACCGGACACATTAAAATTATGCTACTGAAGTATCTATGTAAATACATAAAATCATAACCGCATACATGTAAAACTGTAGTATTTTTTAACTACTTTTAGCAAGAAAACTGAACAACATTTCTATTGGACACATAAATATAACAGCTAATCATGAAGCTATCAGGACTGAGCGCTAGAGCCAAGCCCCTTACATTGTAAGTCTAATAAATTGTGTATGGCCATTGTGTTTCCATTTAAAGTTCATGAGTTCACAAAAGGGTAGAATTACCGACCCAAAAGCATTAAGGGTATTTGCTAGACCAGTTTTGTTTGCAAATAACTTTAAATTTTAAATTCTAATGTCGCGTACCACTCGCGCTTAGTTCGTCGGTAGTCCTTGGTAAGCGTCCGCGCAACCGGCAAAATCGATTACATGTATACAAGTTGCAGTATATTCACGAATAGAACAGGATAGCGCACAGGCAGCACCCAGCCAACAGACAATCCAGCTCCCGTAATCTGCGTGGTGTAAAACCCTCTCTCTCCCAACCTTAAATTCCTGCAACTTTCTCACTCATTCCTCAGGCGAAACGGGCAAGCTGACTTATGTGACCCCTTGACATAACAAGACCCGACAAGGCGACAGGCAATTGACACCTACTCAATAACGAAGTAATAAAACAACAACCCGTAAACGACAGCCGTGACTTTGATAGTGCTGTAATAAACCCCAAATAGGGCAATGTTGGGCAAACACAGGCAAATGAAATGCCTATCTAATTACGTCAGGTCAACTTATACATGTATATATAAGCTACATTTGCACTTTACTCTTTAAAGTCTGACATTTAAAATATAGAACAATGAACATAATAAAAACCGCTTCACTAATTTGTCTACACATTCTTTTGTTAAACATCGTTTTTGTGTGATAGTAATGACATCTTGGCTGATGCTCAGTTTGATTTCCGACCAGGTCTAAACGCGAATCCAAATCAGCAAGCCCTCGATTTGTCCATTGTTTCACGGAATCCATAAGTATCTTGAAATTAACAATCTATTTGCTAGTAGGATTCTCTCGAAAGCTCTGGTAGCTTTGCATTTTGGATAATATTTCAATCGCTGGTGACTATATGTCCAGCAAGACCATAGTCGTATGGGTACGTGGAGCAAGAACATGTTAGAGAAGGAGTTAATGAAAGGTCACCTAAATCCTGCTGATGTAGCGTTTGTACTTTGTATGTAGTTGAAAAGATTGGAAGCAATGTGTTTAAAATAAATGTAGGAAATGATTGGGTACTTTTGTATCTGAAGTACGGTGGTATGATAGCTTCGAAAGGCCTTTGGTGAAGGATGTTACTGATGCTAATGACATCAACCCCGTTGTTGTTTCATGAAATCCAGCGTTACAGGGAGTCATGCCTATCAGTTCGACCAGGCTTAAATAGTCGAACTAGTCTACCTAATGGGGTAGCGTGGTTGAGGGGGCATTGTCATCAAAACTGGATGATTATTTTATTGACATTCATCATCTGTTTATGTGTATATGAACAGGTATACGTCTATAAGACTTTGAAACAATTTTGTAAAATTACACTAAAACTATTTCATAAATAATACAGTTCTCTCTATCCAACATCCTCTGAAACGAACCAATTAACATCAAAACAAAAAAAATCAATTACTGATGAACATGTAACGCATAGCCGTCGACAGCAAGTACAAATCAATATTCCAACTTCAAACCTGCTCGTCAACATCTATTTCCCATCATGTATCCTTGTAACATCTGTACTTCTCGTCACATTTTTCGTGTTTTCTCATTTCGCGGAAGCTCCCTTGGAGTTACCATTCTTCTGTGTAACAATTTTTAGTATACAATTCACTAAATAAAAAAATCAATACCACTGTAAACCTTTTAACTTTAAATACAGTGATAGCACGTCTACGTTAACTGATTTTTTTTCAATACTTCAAAGATCTCGCTGATGTACCTATCGTCGAAAGTCGAGGTCATAGTTTGATTGATAGAAATACTGATTGTGTTTATCCAGAGTTAGATGTGGATTTTAGCATTGAGGAATTAACAGATGTAATTAGGGGTTTGTCTCGTGACAAGTCGGCTGGTACTGATATGTTACTTAACGAATACATAATTGAATATAGAGATATTTTTTCCCCTGTTTTGATCAGGTTATTTAATTCTATGTTACATGTAG